ATGGAAGGAGCTATCAAAGGGATCCGCGCAAAGCACTTTGGAAAAAGTCTGTAGTCCTATAGTAACTCCAGAAGCTCCTGCCAATTTTATTTTTAAAAAAAATATTGCTGAATCTGTGCATGAACACACAAGCTACGCTGCAGGGAGTTGTCACTTTTTTGCTGTCAACACTGCATTTGAGAAAAATAGAGGTGTTTATGAAGAGAACAAATTTATGAGGAAGATAATGGAAAAAAATAGGGACTAGTACAGATGCTGTAGTATTTCTGTTGCTAAGATATTTTATGCACTACAGAAGAAATACCACACATGCTATTCCAACATCTTTCTTCTCTTTTATTAGATGTTAATGAGAACCCTTTACACATTTTTAAACTCAATCTGTAAAAGACAAAAGAATATTGTTTAAAAGTTACTATATGCAATCTAGTATTTTGCCATATTGGAACAAGTTTATCTGTTGACGTAAACACACTGTACACATGGAGCTTGAAACACTTCACCCCTAGAAGCATATATCCAGGTTTCAGCTCATCATCCCTACATGGTTTTTTATGTTTATTTTTGAAAAGATAGAATATCTAAAAATACTTTTACACAATATGGCTAATTATAACAAATCCTCTATTTTAAAAATATAGAGAAAAATATAGTCAGTAGTAACTGGCCTATCAAAAACTATGCTGCTAATAAAACATTATGAACCTGATTTTGCGATTGGTTTTATATGGGCAGACTCTTATATCAGTGCGTACTGGAGCCCCACTGATTTTAACGGGGCTCCACTGGACTTCAACAGAGGACAAGTTTCTACTCACGTGGATCTGACTGGAGGAATGGGACCTATGATCACTTCATATCACATCAAAAGAAAATTTTATACAATTCAGTAAAATTGCAAACCAAAGCTTGGCTTAATTTAAACATCAGGAAGATAAGAAACTTGGCAAGTTAAAATAATTCATTTCTTCAAAGTTTTGGTCTTCAATTAAAGATGGAGATGAAAGTTGTCAGCAAAAAAATTGCAGGCCCTATCATAATCTAAGACAACGTATTTCTTATTTGCATATATAATACAAATTTTAGATAACAGAAAATGGCAAATTCTGCATCAGCATTACTGAAGTCTCAATGATTAAGTGGAAAACTATGGGGTTGAATCACCTGACCAACTTTGGGAAAGATGCACTGTCAATGTCTTCATACATAAAACTTTCCTCTTTTTTAATTTCAAAATTGTAATCACCATTTCCAAGAGAGTTAGTAACCAGCAAAGTGCTACAAATTTCTCTCCTCTCTATGCCTTGTCTCAAAATGGCAAGAGACGGAGACAATAGAGACCTTCTTAGAGCTAATGTTGGGGCAAATTTTTCTCCCAATAATTCTGGCAAAGCAATGAAGAGTTATTTTGTCTGTACCCACCTTAAAACCTGTCTCACATAGGCTGGAGCCTCTGGCTTTTTTTAAAATTTGGAGCCTCAAACTAGCGGTACAATATAACACTGTCTTGGTGCTGATGGGCAGAATCTCTTTTATACCCTTCCTAACAGGCTGTGACATCATTGGTTGTGTGGCCATCTGTGAAGGGGACTCAGGAGCAACAGCTGCTGACACAAGCAGAATTCATTCATGCCCCCTGTTGCAGGTGATGTGATCAGGAGTAAATTGAGCCTGGGGGAGGTTCAGCAGCAGCCATTAAACAGGCAGAATGGCTCTCAGGTGACATCCTTGGGGGCGGGTCAACCCAATGTGGAGGCTGCTCTTTGGCTTTGACTAGTGCTTCTCAATTCTTGACTGAGCAGTTCATAGAGAACAATGCTCAGGTGCAAATTTAAGGCAACTCTGTAGCCCCTTTGTGCAGCCCTGCTGGTGCAAAGTGTCCATGGTGTTGGCCGGGATTTGATTCCTTGTAGCACAATGCATTGAATGGAGGCACACAACTTCAATTAACCAGTGTAAAAAATAGGGCCCCGATTCAGTAAAGCACTTAAACACACTTTGCTTAAAGCGTGTAAGTAGAGCCACTGAAGTCAATATGATTACTCATGTGATCAAAGTTAAATGTGTGCTTAAGTGGTTGCTGAATCTGGACTTGAATGCTTACTTGTCCAGGCAGTGTGAAAACTGCCTGGATAAGTGCCATTCTTTTTCTTTAATAAGGACCTTAGCTTCTCTCCACCCCTTCTTCCAGTGGTTTTGAAATTTACATCACTATCCAGAGAGAACAGATTCATGGATTATAGGGCCAAAGGGACCACTATGATCATCTAGTCTGACCTCCTGCATAACGCGGACCATAGAAACTGCGGATTCTGTAATAACTTGTGTGAGCTATAGCCTCTCTTTTGGAAAGATGCCCAGTCTGGATTTAAAAACTTTAAGTGATGGAGAATCCACTAAATCCCTAGGTAAGTTATTCTAATGGTTAATTATCCTTACTGTTAAAAATCTGTGCCTTATTTCTAGTTTGGATTTGTTTTGCTTCAGTTTCCAATCATTGAGCTCATTATGGCTTTGAACAACAACACATTTACTCACATAGCTTCCAAACTGATGACATATTTTGAAATTAAAAACAAGTATGTGGTTAGTTTTTATTCTGTTATGTTTGTTACACACATTCAACACTATGGGCCAGATCCCCAGCTGGTGTAAATCAGCATTGCTCTACTGACACAGCTTTAGATCAGCTGAGAGTCTGGCTCTATAAGCATGAACTTGGGTCTGTATCAGAATATTGTTACGTTTTTTAATTCAATATTTTGATACTACAGTTAATCCTACATCCAGGCCACTCTTCCATAAATGATTTTTGTTTGTACATGGTTTTCAAAATCTAAAATGATGTGAAACTTGTGTGACTTACCTATGGGACTCTCTCCAACTCTTGCAATAGGCATATATTTTGTGCGTGGCCCATCACAATTGCACCCAGGAAGGCCTGACAAGTACATCTTTATTGTTTTTTTATGGGAAAGCACTCTGATGAACCTAACCAGCACTGCAGGTAGTCTGTGCAGTAAGTTTGTAGAAGCAAGTAAAAAGGATTGTTGGTACATCAGCTTCTTTCATATAAATGACATGCAGTAAAGTATGTCTATTTTAAAACCTTGTTTAAATTCTTTTACAGTAACTACTTATAAAAATAATATTTTATTGCAAAAAAGAAAAAAATGTCTTCCTTTTGCAACGAGCGTTAGGGTAAAATTTTCAAAAACAGCTAAATGATTTAGAGACCTAAGTCCCGTTTTCAAACTGACAGGCTCCTAAATCCTCTTGACTTTCAGTAAGACTTAGGGTATATCTATACTCTACAAAGAAAACAAACCACCACCTGTAGCAGTGGCTATCAAAGCCCCGGTCAACTGACTAGGGTGTGGGGCTTGCACTACATGGCTAAAGATAGCACTGTAGACATTCCCACTTGGGCTGGAGTCTGGGCTCTTAGCAGGTGTCAGAGTCCAGGTTCCAGCCCAAGCGGGAACGTCTACACAGCTATTTTTAGCTCAGTAGTGCAAGTCCGAGTCAGTTGACCTGGGCTCAAACTCACTTCCACTTTTCTATTTGCAGTGTAGACACACCTTTAGGCTCCTAAGTCACTTTTAAAAATGGGACCTAAGTCTCTGAATCACTTAGGTGCTTTTAAAAATTTTACCCTAATGCTAATATTTACTAATTGGAATATGCACTAATAGATGTGCAACGTCTTAGAACAATTCTATTTATTCACATCATCTTTGAAGTTTGAAAGGTTTCTAAAAGAGGAACTGTCACAATAACTGAATACAAATGTGTAGTCTTCACTTTTTCTCCTTGTGTTTATGATGTTAATGTTGCCACAATTTAGACTGCCAAATACACATTGTCAACTTTGTCAGGGCAGGTTTAATCGTATGAAAATTTCACACAATATAAAGTAGCATTCCTAATTTGACCTAATATATGGAAACTCATATTGTAGTTCTGATTAACCAGGTGGCACTTTTTATACTCAGGAAAAAAAAGCATGAAAACCTATTTTATGAAACATTTTAATATCTGAAAGTTGTTTGAGTCTGCCTTTTATTAGGGCTCTCGATTAAGTGCAGTTAACCCACATGATTAACTCAAAAAATTAATCACGATTAATCGCACTGTTAAACTATAGAATACCAACTGAAATTTATTACATATTTTTGGATATTTTTCTACATTTACAAATATATTGATTTCTATTACAACACAGAATACAAAGTGTACAGTGCTCACTTTATGTCATTTTTTATTACAAATATTTGCCCTACAAACATGATAAAAGAAACAGTATTTTTCAATTCACCTCATACAAGTAGTGTAGTGTAATCTCTTTATCATGAAAATGTAACTTAAAATGTAGATTTTTTTTGTTACATAACTGCACTCAAAACCAAAACAATGTAAAACTTTAGAGCCTACAAGTCCACTCAGTCCTACTTCTTGTTCAGTCAATCGCTAAGACAAACAAGTTTGGTTACATTTACGGGAATGGTGGTTGAAGCATGAAGGGACATATGAATCTTTAGCTTATCTGGCACGTAAATATCTTGCAACGCCGGCTATAACAGTGCTATGCGAACACCTGTTCTCACTTCCAGGTGACACAGTGAACAAGAAGCAGGTAGCATTATCTCCTGCAAATTGTAACCAAACTTGTTTGTCTGAGCGATTGGCTGAAGTAGGATTGAGTGGACTTGTAGGCTCTAAAGTTTTACATTGTTTTATTTTTGAATGCAGTTATTTTTTGTACATAATTCTACATTTGTAAGTTCAACTTTCATGATGAAGATATTGCACTACAGTACTTGTATGAGGTGAATTGAAAAATACGATTTCTTTTGTTTTTTACAGTGCAAATATTTGTAATAAAAAATAAAATGAACACGGTACACTTTGTATTCTGTGTTGTAATTGAAATCAATATATTTGAAAATGTAGAAAACATGCAAAAATATTTCAATAAATGGTATTCTATTATTGTTTAACAGTGCGATTAATCGTGATACATTTTTTAATCACTTGACAGCTCTACTTTTTACACAATCTATTATATATAACCTGTACATGTCCTCATTCCAGTTAATTTTTTTTTTGTTCTATAGTAATACAAAATGGATACTATACTGTATATACATGTGCAATTCTAAACAAGTCCTGAGTAATTTTAAAGTATGAGTAAAACCTCGTAAATTCTAATTTGTGCAACTAAAATTCAGATAAGTGTTACTCTATTGTGAAGAAACCATCTATTCCAAAATATACAGCTTTTTACCTTAGTTCTATGCATTGCTGAGACCTCTGTAAAGTGCACAGTATAGTTACATTCCAGGTCATTAGAAAATGAGAAAAGATGCTGACCTCATTCTTGAATAACTATTGTTTCCTTTCTTTTAATTAATGGCAAGTGATTCATTCTGCATCTGTATAATCAAGCATGGAAGACTTTTACAGAGTTTGAATTAAAATCCTCTGCAGTACATATTTTGTAAATGTTCAAGTCACAGGTCCTTTGATTCTTATAAGGAAAACTGTACAATCAAATAGTTAAACTGTGCTTCTTGGGATAAATAAATACCAATGGAGCGTGAGTATCGTCTCAAATGCCACAATATGTTAAGGGGAAATGAAAAACAGGAAATAATCTTAAGAAACAGCTTGGTGGAAACTGAACATTAGAAAAACTCCCCTTATGACTACATAACCACAGTAAACAGGAGATAATCTTGCAGTACTATAATGAATTGTCTGAGCAAACGTAAAGGAAGCACTTCCACTAATGAGTGGATCCCAACACAGCATGAGAATTAGAATTTTTGTACATCATTACCAGAGCAACTAGCGCTAACAAATGTTTGTATATTCCATGCCAAGAAAATGCAGGCACTAAATACGACAACCGCTAAAGGATGAAGGTCAGCATTGTTGCATATCTGTTTTTAACTGGCAAAATTTCTGATGGAAATTTTCAGGCATGGAGATTGATTCTTTATTTGCATTTTTCTGACACTACAGAATGGAAGGCACAGCTTTGGATTCTGCTCCACTGGCAAAGAGTCCCGGGCACAACGGTTAGCTGGTCCCGTGGCTGCTGTAGTCAAACACTCCTTTCTTGAAGAATGGTGAGAACTCACAGATGGTGTGTTTTGACAGGGTTGGTCCAACTTTATCGATGTGTAACGGAGATGATGGAGACTTGAGCATCATGCAGAAAAAGTTCCTGAGGTATTTCTGAGAAAAGAAATCCACTATGTCACAGTGTTTTCATGATCACTTTGGTTACAGTCATTTTGAAGAGTTAAATACAAGACAAAATAAAAATAGTTAAACGAATCTCTGTGAACTTGGAAAAGTTCATTTTAATAACTAACCATATTTAAATACCAACCTATAAAACGTGTCTCTGAAATGTTTATGTTGTTGTCAGGTAATACAAAGAAATGTTTACTATATTCTTCTCCTCCCAGGATTGTTACTATTTTGCTCTACCTCCAGAGTAATACTCTCTGCTAATCATGGCTTACCAACATGCCTGGAAAAGAACACCCAAAGCTAGCAAATATTGCAGCAGGTCTGTAGGAATTTCCAACTCTGTAGGAATTTCACTAAATATGGATGCAAAAGAACTTAAGAAATCTTTTCAGCACCTCAGTACCACAATCATTAAGTTGAAAAGGAATTGTTTTGATCAAGGTCATCTGCATAAATTATACATGTGTTCCTTATTGTCCGGCTATACCGAAAAGGACAGGAGACACTTGATATGGTTTTAATAAGGCCGCAACTCTGTTATTAAATGTCTGGGACTATCTGGCAGATAAAAGTGTACAGCACAGGTAGCTTCATGTTCATTCAATAACTATCCCGGGGGCTTCTGCCACCCCACCCCCCTTTTCCATCTAGGTCTCCCAGCCAACCCATTGCTGGGACCTTATCCACCCCTCCTTGTAGGAGGGTTAAGGTGGGCTATAAGAAAGGGCAGTTGGCTCCCTGCCGGACCATTCATAGGAGCCCCTGACTCTCCCCACCTATAAAGCACCGTTCCCCCTTCCTCGGCCAACCGGACAATAACCTCCCCCATGTAAAGGTGTGGTGCAGTAATGATCTCTGCACTGGGTCCTGTTAGTGAAATCCACCCTAAAACTGTCTAAAAGAAATATAAAATGCAAGAAGTGTTCCAGTTCCAAACAGTAATATTTACCAACCGTTCCACGAATTGTATCCATTTATATCTTGTGAAATTGTGACAGAAACAACATAAAGATCACTTTTGCAAAACCAATGGGGTTTTCTTTAAGTAAGGTTTTGGGGGAACATGAACATTTAGTGCGATTTAACAAACAGCGCTTGAAATGTTCAAATGAAATGTGGTAGATAAAACATATGCTGAGACAGACACACATACCTGTACTAAAGAGTAACCAAAAATATCACCTCCCTGATTCCATGCAAATAGCTGCAAGGGAAATCTTATCTAAAGTAAAAGGATAAAGTCTTTTGCTCTGCTACAGACTGGATTAAAAAGATAACTGACTTGTCATATCTTTAGATATTACACACTAATCATGTATTCAGGGGGAAGAAATCTATTTAGTACAATATCCTATGATTAATGTGATGTTCAGTTACCTGAATGCAGCATACAGCCCTAATCAATCCATTCTGGGAAGCAATCACCCTAATTAAAGTCCACATTACCTGCTCTCTTTTCAAGAAGAACTTCTCCATAATAAAACAAGCTATTTATCCATTTGCTGTTAAGAGTCTTGGAAACAAACTATATTAATATCACGGAATGCAGGATAACAAAAAAGCAGTTGGCACATAAGCTATTCTCTTGGCAGGACTGGTCGATTTTCTTTTTTATTCAGATCTCCCACAGGTTGTATTAATGTTCACAAAAAAAATTTTTCATTACGAAAATGCCTTCAAGATGAATTCCAACAGACTAGGAGATAATTTAAAGCAGGCAACAGATGTTGTGTCAACATTTGTCATAATTAGTTCACGAAGTAGGGTCCCTTAAAAAAAAAATCCCAACCCGATAAAGCCTGAAGGATGAATAGGGAAGTAAATCAAATGTAAAAATATAACACTCTGCTCGAGTTTTAGTAGTGGAAAGTTACTGCAGTATTTCCAGTCTACTGGATCTGAAGGTTCACAGAGGGTACCAATTTTTTAGTCACAGTCATCAGAAAGGAAATTGTATTCACCTTGGTCTGCGTGGCCAGGTGATTTACTGCCATGCCTTTCCTGTAAAGCCACTATTCTTGCTGTAGGCTGGGCAATTCTAATGGTAGTACAAAGAAGCCCTGTGCTAGGCGAGTATATGTATGTGAAATGAAATTGGTAACAGCAGCAACTACTGTTTCACATGATTTTTCCAGATCTGCACAGAAATCATCATTGGAACACTACAGCAGGCTGGAAAGTGGAAAACAAATTGTGAAAATGTTACTCCCCCCCACCCCCCATATTTTTTTGCTGAAATTTCATTTTGAAGTAAGATTTCAACGCCATATATTGCACTCTAGTAACACCATATACTGTATGTCAGTATGTGCTACCTTGTTTAATAGCCTCTGGATCCGGGCTCGTATGCAGCACTGATGTTGCAGTGCAGTCTGGGGCTGTTGAGCCCTTCACCCAGGGCCGGCTCCAGGGTTTTTGTTGCCCCAAGCAGCAAAAAGAAAGAAAGAAAAAAAAAAAAGCCGCGATCGCGATCTGCTCTACCACCGCCGCCGCTTCAGTCTTTGGCGGCAGGTCCTTCGCTCCGAGAGGGAGCGAGGGACTCGCTGCCGAATTGCCGCCAAAGAGCTGGACGTGCCGCCCCTCTCCGTTGGCCGCCCCAAGCACCTGCTTGCTGGGCTGGTGCCTGGAGCCAGCCCTGTCTTCACCCCATACTGGCTGGTCCAGATGTGCTGGTTGGAAGTTAAAGATTCCATAGTACAGTGAAACGTGTCCTAGACCACATGTGAAACTAAGGTTATGCACATTGTTGTCTTGACTTCCTATCCAGTCACTACACTAACAGTGCCTAACTCAATGCCTTGCTATCCCCCAAATGTGGAATGTACTACAGTATATCAACATCTATTTCTAGTCTTGCAGTGTTAACTTCGAAAGTTAACTATCGAACTCACTATTACGAATATTCCAAGAGACATGTTCTTATGACTTATTTTATTTTTCATTCTGGTAAATGCTTTCAGAATAGCAAAAATTACAATATTCACTTGTTCTGGATTATTTAGTCTAGCAATGAGTGTTCAAAATGTACGTCTGAGTTCATGCTGCTACTAGTGTTTACATTGTTAAATTGTTGGCTTACAAAACACCCACTGTAATTGTAAATATCTATGTGTTTTCCAATGATGGCATGGAATCTTGGCATCATTAGATGGACAGCCCTTATACTTAAACACTTTAACATATATATCTATATATATTATCAGTCATTTGGTCCAAGAATACACTAAGAAATATGGAAGATTACTTTGTAAAGGAATTTTATTACCACTATGTAAGAAAATGTTTAAAGCAGGAATCCATTCTGTTTTATTCTTAGGTTCAAAGCATGTGTCCCCAAGATTTGAAAGGTGATGGTTCTGCCCTTTTGGTTTGTCCTACATTTTCATGTCCTTTAGACTGACTAACTTGAGATCTATATTATGTGAACTACACAAACTTAAACCTCAAAGCTTTAACCTGGCATGACAAGTATCCCTGCGGGAGAAAAACTTAGAAAGCTTTGTAAGCCTCAAAGTTGCTTCTTTTGTTGAATGGGCCAAGCTGCTTTCCCTCCATTTTCATTTGGTGAATGGTGAAATTATAACCATTTCAAGTCTTAAAAAACTATTATTTTAATAGGGTTCATTCTATAACTGTAGGCCAGTGTTCATCTGATGTGCAATGTCATTCTAATGATTTTTGCACTACCTCACTATGTGGGGACCTCATAATTTTACCTATTTTAACATGAATCCATAACTTAATTTAACAGTATTAAAACTGAAAAGTTTTCTGGAATGTAAAAGGATTCTTATCTTCCGTTCGGTTGTGGCATATTAATAGGGAACACAACTCAATTACATTGTTCTCATATGTTAAAAAGAGTGACAGCTTCTGAGACCAATAGCAGAGTTAGTAAGAATTAGATTTATTTTTATTGTATTAATCTTCGCATTGTTTTAAAACTCATCAGCTACAGTACTTATAGAAAGCGAAAGAAACTTTCAGCATCAGGGGTTTGGACTCTAAGGTCCTTCCCAAACTTACTATTTTTTATAGCAGGTTTCTTGTCATACTGGGCTTCACAACCCCCACAATAATGAAATATTTTGCACTTGTATTTAAAGGAGCTCACAGTTTTACAAACCTTAATGAGTTAAGCCTTACAGAGCCTGGTGAGGTAAGGAATAATCCTCACTTTATAGTTGAAGAAATTGAGGTACAGATATTAATACATTTGCCCGTGGTCTCACAAAGAATCAGTGGCAGACTCAGGAAAAGGAATGCCTATCTTGTTCACCCAACTCCTATCACTGAACCATCTTTCCCTTTATTAAAATGCTAGGCTTGCTCAGCCCCAGCCATATAACTACTATATAATCTGTTAACAAGAGGAGAATGTTGCAAGTTTTAAGCCAAATCTTGGTTTAAACTATTCATAGAAGAAAAACAGATGGCTATTTTCTATAGAAAAGATGGAAATATTATAAAGGGGCAGATTTCAAGCTAACTCACTCTGAATAACACATTACTCTGCAATTAGTACATGTGGTTTCAATGGGAGTACCTCAGCCTAAGATACTCCTAAGCAAGGGTATTAGAATCTAGTGCAAAATGAGCAGGTAATCTGGAGTCTGGTTAGCTATGAGGGCTTCCAAGCAGTGACAAAAAGAAAGAAAGATCTGCTTAAATGGCAGAGACTCTAAAAGACTCTGATTGTTCAGGCATCCAGTGTCACTGCACAAGTCAGAATGTTAGCCAGCTTGATCTTCCTCAAATCATTAGATCCATCTAATGGGGGAAAAGGGGAAACACCTTCAGGTGTTTTCTCTACCATTTAATTTTAAAAAGGTTAAACATATTAGTTCTTCTCGCTCCCTCCCAGAGGTGTCATGAGGAGTAACTGATGTTTTTCTGCAGTGGTTTTCAGATGTGAAGCACTATATAAAATGTCAAGTATTATTACAAACTATAGGAATCTGTTCAGAAGCAGCCTTCAG